TCTTAAAATAGCTTTAAGTGTTCTGCGAGATGTATTTCACAAGGCAGGTATTAACAAAAGTAACAACCCTTCTGACTTTGGCAAGTAAAAGAGTTACTTTGCTGTTTTAACAGAGCTCGCGTCAGTGCTTTTGATATTTCCCTCACCAGGTTTGTGTTAAACGATGATCAGAAGAGGCTGTTTGAAAAGTTGTCGATATACTGCGACCGCTACGCAGAGCTCATCCCTGTGTCATTTGTGTTGGGTGAGTTGTGGCTCACTAACCCTAACCCTTTTAAGTCAGGAGGGCATCACTGAAAGTTTCACTTCATTTATCTTAACCAGGTTTCTATGTGACTTTGGTCGTGTCCCGTTGGTGGGGACAGTTTGAGAATGTACCCTGGCCAGACCGTTTGGCAGCATTAGTCGGAGGTCACGTTCGAGGAGCTGACGAAACATCCCGGCTGACCCGCAGGACACTTATGAGGTACGCCAACCTCTCTGGTGTGCTCATCTACCGCTCCGTCAGCACAGCAGTCTACAAGAGGTTTCCAACCATGGAGCATTTGGTGCAGGCAGGTGCGTCGTTTGCTGTTATTAGTCTTGCCTCTTTAAAACATAGCATGCTGTGCAGAAGCTGCACAGCATTCAGACCCAATGTCTTCTTCTCATGTGGCTGAACTGATGAGAAGATTATGAGGCGAGCTCTGGCTGTTCACCAGGACTATGCGTGCAGGAACACGCACCTTTTGGCTGCTTTCATCAACACGTTGTGTTTTTCCATCTCAGGTTTGATGACATCAGAAGAGCTGAGGCACTTGGAGGATTTGCCCTCCCCTCATAATAAGTTCTGGGTGCCCTGCATGTGGTTTGTCAGCCTGGCTCTGAGAGCACGGACTGAGGGTCGCATCAACAACGACGTGGCGCTCACTGCTCTCCTCACTGTAGGTGCCCGTGTGCAAACCAAAGCCTCACAGCCTGCAAATATTTTCTGGTTTTGCATGACTTTTACTGTTTTCTGTTTAGGAGTTGAATAGCTTACGGGCGAAGTGTATGAAGCTGTACGGCTATGACTGGATCAGCCTGCCTCTTGTCTATACTCAGGTTTTTGTTTATATTGCATTCAGCACTGAAACCAAAAAGTAGCCGATAGCAGTAATATTAGGTACTAAAAATATAATGGTTTTCTTGCAATAATCATCATATACCTTAAATCGTTAACCCTCCCTAATCCAGATGCATTTGATCGGCAATAAAAGCCATAACTCAAGATAAACTGTTTCTCTAGGATGGTGTAAAACAATCCTAATTAAAGGCATATAATCAGTTAATGCTCTGACTTTTTTTTTTTTAATTAGGTGGCAACAGTTGCAGTCTACAGCTTCTTCCTAGCGTGTCTGATCGGACGTCAGTTCTTGGATCCAACTCAGGGATACCCTGGTCATGAAATGGATTTCTACCTCCCTATTTTTACCCTGTTGCAGTTTTTCTTCTATGTTGGATGGCTGAAGGTGAGGGACCACTGATTGATCATGTCTGTGGTTCTTAAAGTTGAGGCCTGCAGCCACAAAAAGAAAGGCATTCGCTACTGGACAGTTCATCCCATTGAGCACTAAAGATGTGCAGAACAAGACTTGGAAAACATTTTTCTTTAATTGAACAGATGAAACATCCCCAACTTTGACAAAAACAGCTGGTCAACAAATGAAATAACCACTTGTGTTGAAAAAATAAATATAAACAAGAACTAAAAAGGAGGATTACTAACATCTGAACTCTGGATTATGCTGATTGCTGACTTTGACTTGTTAATTTGTCCACTGAGTTTCATTGAGGTAGTGTGTTTGTTTTGGTCTCAGGTGGCTGAACAACTCATAAATCCATTCGGTGAAGATGATGATGACTTTGAAACCAACTGGCTTGTGGACCGCAATTTGCAGGTGTGAATCTAAACCAAAGTATTTGCTAACTGATCCTAGACAGCGAGTGTATTGTTTGAGTCAATGTTGTTTTCACTGTGTCCCAGGTCTCATTGTTATCTGTGGATGAGATGTACGATAGCCTGCCTCTGGTTGAGAGGGATATGTACTGGAATGAGTCTGAACCTCAGCCGCCCTACACTACTGCCAGCGCTGAACACCGCAAACCCTCCTTCATGGGCTCAGCGCTGGATATCAGGTTTAATGATTTTTTCTTTCTTTCTTTTTCTTTCTTCTTAATAAACTTGCTGAACATATGTCAAACCTTCTGTTTGGTCTTCAGTGTTCCTAAGGAGGAGATGGAGTTCCAGTCCAATCTGGAGCAGATCAAAGAAAATGAGGAAGCCAACTACTCCACTCCTCTGCTTGGAGGGCTTGGTCGTCTTCTCGGTGTCCACTCCCCAAACTTCCCTCGCTCCTCCCGGGTGTCACTTCTCCGCCGTCGCCCTGGAGCTCCACTAAGCCGCTTTCCCCTTTACTTGCACACAGAGGCACCTTTGACTCAAGGTCAAGCCTGCCAGGAGGGAGATCCTGACTACGCCTTTTCCACCACACCCTTGTACGAAAGACCAGGTTTCTATAGCTGCCCACAAACCCCAATTCACTGCATTCCTCCTGCGGTGCCCCGTCCTCGACCTGCTAGGAGAACCCAAAATGACTTGGATCACAGCTGCAGTTCTCTAGCCCCTCCAACTGTGGGCTCCCAGATGCTGCCTCCCGACACCCCTAACCACATCCCCCCTCCGCCATCCTCTGCTTTCCCCTGGCTGAGTGAGGATGGGGATACGCAGAGTGCACCTACCTTCTCCTTCCCCGACCCTCCACCTGAACTCTGCCCGATATCTAAACTCAGACTGGGACACGGCCTGCTATCTCGCCGCCCTCCCCCTCCTCGCCTCACCCTGGACACCCTACCATCTGCTGACATTCAGCCTGGACCAGCAAGTGGCCGGGCTGCGGGAGGCGGAGGAGAAAGGGTGTTCTCGTTCACTCCGCCCTCTCGCACAACGGCAGCAAATCCCGGTAATCCCAACAGCAGCTCTAGCAGCATTAATGTAACAAGCACCAACAGCGCAGGCACGACGGGAAGTCTTTGCAATGGCACAGGTCACGGTAATTTTAGTAACCATGGGAACTTCAGCGGCAACATGAGGGCAAGCAACGGGGGCACCAACGGTGGGTTGAGCAATAACATGAACACAGTTTCCACTTCAGCGCCATCGCAGCAAGAAACCAATCAGCAAAACTCGCCCAACGATTCAGGAATCTCACTCGCCGAAGGAGACCTGCTGGGCGTTCTGGTGGATGGTGGGGTGAACAAGGCAGCAGGAGGGAGGGAGCAGGACTAAGAAAAGAAGGTGTGACTCACTGTTTTTTTTTTAAGCACATGTGCCAAATATCTCACAAAAACAGGCACTGGACTGTATCAGCTGGAGCCACTAAAAATTATTTACTTTCCAATAAACTCTCACAGAAGAATTAACCTACTTGTAATATTTTTTAAAAAAGGACCTTATGAGATTTGACCCTCAGTGCATTATGGGAAAAATACTTTCCAGTTTCATCAGTGGCAGCCAAAATGTGTATATTCTTCATCTGTGGTAGTCTTTGCATCAGTGTCTTTATTAATAAATATTATATATTATTCTTCTTTTGACACTATTAAAGTTTTTTTCCAAATAAAATGAAAAACTTTAATTTATTTGTACATTACAACTTTATTGTTTTATTTTACAAGCATACTGAATCTACAATTTGACTTAACATCTGCAGAAGGAAGCAATCAGTCCAAATAAAATACAATGAGAAAACATTTTCACAGGTCTCACTGCTTATGCATGTTAATGTTTATTTAACTGTCAAAAATAAAACAAGCTGAAAGATTTTATGAGACATTAAAAAAATGACAAAAATGTACAATGTTATTCATAATTATGGATGGTAGAGCTAGCTTGTCTGCTCCAATGGACCTGGCATGTTAAAAAATGGTGTATATTTGAGAGATAGGGAATTGTATTCTTAGCTGTGAACTATCAGTGTTCTGTTTCAAGTATGCTTCCTTCAGGATTTGATAAATGGGCAAATGGCTTTTTCCACCATTAAAAGTGCATTTAGCTGCAATTGCAGCTTTCTGAGCTATCTCATCGCACTGCCCTACATCATGCTCTTGAGGTGGCTCGGCTGTTTAAGTCAGATGTAGTGGCAGTGGAGTTTCATTGATTGGACAAAGCAGAAGGCGTCTCACAGTGAGATACGGAGCTCAGTTTTCGGAGAACTAGAGTTGTGCTAGTAACCAAAGGTTTCTTAAAATAAAGACAAATGGAAAACAACACACACACACACACACACACACACACACACACACACACACACGCTATAAAATAATAAATATAATTTAATTAACCAGTGTTTTAGTATTGTTACGTATTGTAACAAGAATATATTGGAGTGGTCTATAAACATGGTTCTTGGCTTTTATGTGTGGATGGTGGTTAAAGTATGAGAAATATTCTGTGAAAAAAAGAAAAAGAATAAAATAACTGAATAGGCCAGAAAAACCTTATTGCGAATAATACCGTGGTAGCTTTATCAGTACACAGAAGCCTGGGGCTTCAGCTGGGCAAAATACCTCAGCCTGAGTGTGTAATTTTTGGGAGGTGTAGCTTAATGCCAACATGGTGCCACACTACCTGAAGAGGAGCTTGAAAAGCCAAAAAATGCACCAAGATGGTTGGACTTAAGTGCTAAATAAGAGCTAATGAAGTGATGACACACATGGTAGGTCCAACTCTGTCCAAAGTGCCTTTACCTTACTTTACAGTCACAAAATTTTAAACACCACTGGTATAACAGATAACAAAGCAGAATTTCTCTTTGCTTTTTAAATTCTCAAACAAAAAAGGTTGATTAACAATTTTTCAATGCATGTAATTTAAATTATTGCAGCCTAAAACGTTTCAGTGCCACGGTCCAATCTTCCTAAACCTGACATGTAAGGAAACCTGAATGCATAACTAGCATGATTTAAAGGCCTGCTTAGTCTTTTTTTTTTACACACTGCACTTAGTGTGAGGTGAGGGTTACACAACTCCAGTCTGCGCTACAGCCTCTGCTAACAGCTAATGAACACAAATAAAGCAGCATTCTTTTATAACATATGCAGTATATACTGTATTTGGCAGACATGCAGCAGAATTACCCATGATCACATGTGCCTCAATTTAACTGCCCTCTTCAGCCATGGTGTGTTTGTCAAAGAGGTACTCAGCCATGCCGCTCTGAGGGGCTCCCATCCGGCGTAGGTTTGAGGTCCAGTCGGCGAGCTGTTTGATGGATTTTACCTGCTCGTCCAGAAAATGTGTTTCTATGAAGTCGCACATCTGCGGGGGACGGAAAAAGACAATATGCTGCATCTTACTAGATAGTCATATCCGAACAGCGGAGACTGTACATCCTCCATGCCTGCTTCTTACATGAGGGTCGTTGTGTTCAGTGGCCATTTTCTGCAGGTCCAGCAGGGATTGGTTTACATTTTTCTCCAGCTGCAGGGCACACTCCAAGGCCTCCACGCCACTCCCCCACTCATCTCTATCCGGTTTCTAACGCATTAATATTTCAAGAAGATTCAGTACCGATCAGATTCATGTAAAATTATTCATATTAAAGCAACCTGAAGCACTGCAGTCCATCCATTTTTATTATTAAAAAACATTGTAAAGCCTTGATTAATAAAAAGACTGTTTTGTTTTTTAATATAAAAAGACATGAATTTGGCTTTTTTTTTTTTAACTCATTAGTGAAAATATCCTTACATACCCTGATGTCTTGCAGAAATATTTTGCCTCCCCGCTTGTTCTGGAAGGTCATCAGCTTCTCTGCATGCACAACCTCTTCTTTGGACTGATTGTGAAAAAACTTTGCAAAATTTGGCAGGCATTTATCATCCCTTTCAAAATAGTATGCCTAAAAGTCAGGAGAGTAAACAAAAATAAACAAACAAAAAGATTAAAACACTCTTTTTAATGCCTTTGAAATAACACAGGGCTGTGATACATGACACCACTGACTCAGAAACATTTCTTACCATAGAGAGATAAACATAAGAGGCATACAGCTCCAGGTTTATCTGTCTATTAATGGCAGCCTCGCAGTCATGGTGGAAGTTTTGACGGATCTGAGAAGTCATTTCTGGAAAGATCATAACAATAAATGCTGATCAAATGTAAGGCTGTTCATAACTGGAGAAGCAGATTATTCAGGCAGTTAATTGCAGTATGTTGCATTTTTAAAAAGTATCTAGCCATCAATACTGAGACACTGAGAATTTACACTTCACGTGTTTGTTTGCCTGCATCAAACTAAACACATCTACTTTTAAAACATCTGAAAAATGTCCCTACATATAAATAATCGAGTGGACACTACAACGTAATCTGTATTCACATTAATCCAGACAAATGACCTTGGGACTAAAAAAGGCAAACACCAGAGCAGCTGTTGCTCAAAGTTAATAGTAAAGTAGCAGACAACTTCTGTCTTAAATTTGCACCTAGTTAATACAGAATCCGTGTTTCGTGACACTGAACTTGTGATAAGACGAGACACAAACATTGTTTACCTGCACACGCAAAGAAACCACAGCGTTCAAGCCTGCAGCTACTGCCAAATAACGGGCTACCACCCGCGTTGTTTTATTTGTTGTTCTTGTTGGCCGTGGTGTACCTGCGTATACTAAGCATTACGGTAAGTGCTGCTTTTAACATAAAAGCTGCCTCTCGGTGTCTCCCGCACAATAACAGTCTGGTGTTGAATTGAAATATTAAAACTCTTAATCGATCTCGTTACACGCAAGTCACTAAGTTTGAAGGGAGTATATATATATATATATATTCCAATTCCCCAGAAGCGCTTTTATCGTTAAGGTATTTCTTACACTACCGTAATGCTTAGTATAAATACATGAAAAACAACGCTGGTTGCTTGCGTGACCCAAGCGGAGGCTGGCTTAACAGCTATGAGGAACGTTAGGTTATGGCAGTGGCATGAATAAGGCCAACTTGGTGGCTAAATTATATCAAAATTTAAGCTTCGTGCACCTTGCAGGCATCGAAGCCCACGCTAACTGAACAACAGTTGCGTTGCCAAATATATTCAGCGCAGCTAATCGCTGCTAGCAACCAAATCTTAGTCAGCTGATCTCACAAACAACAGGACAGGTTGCACATTTAAACCCAGCTGCGGAGGAAGCGGTTATATAAACCAACCTTCTTCGACGATTTCACACGTTTCGCTAAACTTATCGCTGATAGTTGCGCTTGCTTGCGACAATAAATTTCCAACTAAGGACTTAACTCGCCGTTTTGCCGACGCGCAAACTCACTTACGTGACTGCAACGCTGTTGACGTTAGCCGTTAAAGGTGCGGAATGGACACGTTAAAATTAAAAGCTTTTGTGGCTATGTGGACAGCAAACAAACCAGTGTGCCAGCGGCTGCATTAGTCTGAAATAATGTTTAATCATTGCGCATTGTTTTTTTTATGTTTAAATTAAAGACTGACACATTCCCCAAAAATTAAACACTGAAGATTCAAACTATGAAAATATTCATAACAAAAACAAGTAAATCTTGTAGATCGTGGGACCTGTCTTGTCTTTCATGCATCGCGTATTCCGTAGACCAAAGATAAAACACACTACAATGGAAACTGGTACATATTTAATGCCGCCTTTTAATTTCGATTTCTTTTATTATGCTGTCTGACAGTAGAGATGTCAGTCTAATTTTACAGAATCTCCCCGCTCTCTCTCAGGATAAAAACATTTATTTACAGTTCATTCTTGTAATGTTAATATAAGAAAAAGAAATGCAATTGCAACAGGACATGTTTTTTCTACGCGATGAAGAAAATTGCTTCTGTAGTAAATAAATGAAATCTGTCAGCATGACTCTTTAGGCTTAAATTCTAAGAAATAAACATTTAAAAGCATTCAAGCTTATAGCTACTGTTCTTTATCAGGAGCTACAAAGACAAAGTCCAAAATGTAGGCCTTCCTTTACATTTACCAAAGCTGTCCAGTGGGTCCAATACTGGGCTCAAGACCTGTCTGACACCCATTTTAGGGATCAGTAAACCCGAATAAAGAGCATCTGAACTTTATAATAATAAATGCAGAGAATTCTCAGTTGTAGCCTGAAACTAAACGAAATTAAAAACCCAGATTTTAAAAACCAATTACAAAGTCTACAACTGAGAGGCTGCATGTGTGATCTAGATCGATGTAACTTAAGTCAAGCTAAACCTTACTTTAGTGAAATAAATGCACCAAATTTAAAATTTTCCCCAGCCGTGGTGCCAAAACTATTAAGTAGCTGTTCTGGAACACACAGCAGACTTCTTAGCAGAGGATTTCTCTGAGCTTTAAGCTTTACAACCAGCTTTCAACACAGTGCTGCATTTTGAACTAAAAGTCATGACAACTGCTGAGTGACAAAATCCTTTTACAGCACATACCTTTAATAGAGAAAGTTTGACATACCAGATTGAAGAAAACAACCATAAATATTATAAAAGAGATTCTGCTTTGCTGTCCAGCAAAATCAACCATCACCGTTGTTATTCAGTTAACCTGCAATCCAGTTAATTTACAAGCCAAAACAAAATAATTACATCTCTAAAAGCTAAACAAACCACAGATACAAAAACCTACCGAGACAAAGATGTGAAACACAAACATACATTTAAAAAGAACATTCAGAAAAACAAAACAAATTACTTTATTTGAAACAGATTTTCAGAATTTTAACTATACAGCAGTTTATACATCTGTAAGAGTGTACAGATGTTACTTTCCAGCTGGGGGCGAGTGCCACACTGCAGAGCTGGTACGTTTAAAATATCTGGGCTTGCTCTTGTAAAAGATGTTTTCTAGTCGTGGTGACTCGATTGCTCCAAAGAAAGAGTCCAAATCAGGAGGGTTGAAGTATTGCTTCATTATTATCTGCTGCAGATTGGGACCTGGAAGAGAGAGAGAGAGAGAGAGAGCACAAACAGGTCTGTTTAGGGGCTTTAAATAGCATGCAATATCCACAAACACATGTGGGTTTAGCTCAGTTTGGTAGGGGTGTAAAATTGTGACGTAGAGACCAGAACTGTGATACAAATGTCTGAAATATCTTATCATGGTTCAAGTTTCCTGTAGTGTCATACCTAGGATTCTTCATCCCAAGTTAAAGTGTGCTAATATCAAGGGAGCCATTACATTTCAAGTTCAGTCAGGAAATGAAGTTATATTTGTGATCAAGTAATCAGTTGTCCAACAGATCTCAGCAGATTTCTGCCTCTCACTATTGAAGAGACTTCTTCCTCTTATTTGTTTGCTCAACAAATAAGTTTGGGTTTTTTGTTTTGTTTTTGTGGTTAGTATTTATTCGTTTGTGCTCTGCCCAACTGGGAATGAAATGCTTGGACCAGCTGGCTGTTCAGGGTGCAGAACGCATGCAAACGTGGAAGTTACAGAGTGCCCCCTGGTGGCCAAACTATACAATCTTAACCACTGTAAATGTTCACATTGCACATGTGCAGGTATGGCCAAAATCTCATATCCCCGCACACAAATTTTA